CAACCATAAAGGTGCCCCAAGTTTGTCAAGTCGATCCCCTACCCAAGCAAGGCTCAGGCCAAATCCTTCCTTCTGAAGCGCATGGCAAGGCTCATTGCTTCTCGATGCAGGTCTTCCCATCGAGATCCATGGTGTAGCCTCCATCAGAATCGCAGCTGGCACAATGCGCAGTTGCCTCGCAAATATCTGATACCAGATGTTCCGCTAGACCATCCATGTTTTGCTTATTGAGACAAAATGGCAGTATACCTCAGGTGGTTGCTTCATTGCTTGAGGCTTTGAGCCACAGTGATGCCTAGTCTTTCAGCCACCTAAGTTGGCCTTTGTCCATTCCATCATACAATCATGCAATCCTCCATTCACTCACTCACTCACTCACTCATTCACTCACTCATTCACTCATTCACTCATTCACTCACTCACTCGATCGCACAAATTGGAAAAAGGAACTGGGTGGCAAAATCTTCCAATGCTCTTACACGCAAGTAAATCTTTCCAATTCCAAGCTGGACCTACAGTACTCTACCACGTTGCCCCATAGCGCTTCTAAAAAGATATCGCGCCTGGATTGGGCAGTCAGCCCCCGCCGCTGGGGTGCCAAAGGCACAGGTGCACAGCTTCTTTTTGCAGTGCCTTTGAGCAAAAAAGAGTCTTCTGAAGGAAGTGTCACCGATGACAATGGACACAAGTGTCACCCCTTAAAACGCTTGAGGGCGGGGGGGTTGGTGGGAGAAAGGATGAAAAGAAGGACAAAAGGGAAGGCATGATGCAAAAAATGCGTCTCCTTTTTGGAGGGAAAAGGCGAGAAAGCAGCACTGTGCAGGATTACTTTTCTCCTAACTTTTCTCCTTTGATGGACGAACACGAACACGCGGAATGTAGTGATGAAGCGGCATCCGAACACGAACACGACGACGGTGACCCGGGTGAAGTCATGGACCAATTGTGGTATTCCACAGTCAGTTTAGAGGGATCAGGGAGGGAATCAAAACCCTGGAATTTGTGATCTGTTGGAATTATCCTGGCGGCATTGGGCCACATCCAGGTTCAGAAGGCATGTGATGAAACGTGCATCATATTCGCGTTCCTGGCAGGTCCCCATCTCCACCTGAGCAAAGACACTTGTCAGGTGCCAAATAGAAGGCTGCCAAGCCTTGGTAGAGGCGCTGAAACTCTTGACTGGAAGGTAAACCTTCTTGTAAAATTGTAAAATGGCTGTGTTGGGATTGATATCGTGGCAAACCCAGACCCAGTTTGAGCAAGGTACCACACATGATTTGGGATGGTTCAAGTGGATTGACGTCTATTTCAAGCCGATGGGTGCAAAGGTGAGGATAGAGCAAGTGAACCAGCATGTGGAGCCGTCCATCACATCAGGAGGCCACCGTGCCAGTGTTTCTCTTTGAAGTATTATACTGTATTAGTTTATATTATACTGTACTACATTACATTGTACTATATTCCATTATGTGTGTATGTATATATATATAGATCACAAGCACATACTGCAATCTTAATGCAAGCATTTTTCACGCAGCTAGCAAATCCCCAACCTCACGTCCACAGCAAGCAGGGACCAATGCATGCAATTCTGGCCAGGCCAACACTTGACCAACTATCACGATTGCAGCTGTTTTCTGTGTTGCTGCTGACTCAAGTAAAATCCACCATGGACAGCACCATTCCTGCCATGAGACACGACTCACACTCGTAGGCATGGTTCACCTTGCAGGTCTCCCCTGCAGCTGCCACACCCGTAGAAGGGTCGCAGTGGCAACGGTTTCCAGCCTCGGCTCCCCAGCAAAAGGATGAAACCGGTTGCTCTAGTCTCCGCCACTAGGAACAAGTGCATCGCTACTAGTAACAAGTGCCTTACTAGTAGTAACAAGAAGCTATTAGAAACAAGTGCCTTACTACTAGGAGCAAGAAGCTACTAGGGGCTCCTGGCCTTACTAATAGTAACAAGAAGCTATTAGAAACAATTAGCAAATGTCGGGAAGGAAGTGACAACTGAATCGGCGGATATCCGCATTCCTGATCTAGGTCTTAATGCCAGGCTCCCAGGTACCTATTGATTTCATCAAGACAAAAAGGAAAAGCAAAATAACAAAGCTTGTATATAACACATGGGCCGGGTCCTGGCTCTAGAGAAGGAAGAGAAGTGAGAACTCCCTTACAACTTGCGGCTCATCTTGCTCTGGCAAGTGTCAAACTTCACATCGCCGTTTGGAATGCAACGCTTCGAAGCCAAGCAGTTGAAGAGCTTCTCTGTCTTGGGGTGCACTTGGCCTGTCAGACAGCTGGTGCAGAACCACTAGTGAACACTGAGAACGGTCAGAAGGGATCCCTTGGGGATCGAAAATCAGGGACCCCCCAACCAGCGGACGTCAGTCACATATCTGAAAAGGTTGGGGTCCAACAGTGTGTGGTCTGCCCTTCTTGTATACAACTGTTTGCTGGAAGGCTTCTGTGCACCTGGCTGTGCCAGCTATACAAACGTTTCTGTTGCTTTTGGGGGAGTGAGTTGGATTTGGGGTTACCCTGCAGCCAAGCCGCATTGCAAATAGACCTTGCCATCCACCCCTGCATCATATCGATGCGTGCATTTGAACTCATCCTCAGCAATGCAGGTGACAGCTATGCCCCCACAAAGACATGACTTCATCTGGGTTGCGCACGTGCTTTCCGCCATCCGCCTTTGATCCTCACCCTGACCCTTCGTTTGCAAGATGCGGCCATGATTTCTTGAGATGTTCTCACCAGGATGTTCACTTGGCGTGCTTGGTGTTGACGCTTCGACCCACACCCATTCATGCAGATTCTAATCCTCACTAATCAAACGGTGAATCTCGTCGTCTATATGTTCAAAACCCCATTTCTGAAGACACTGGACATGTGGTACCATGTGAGAATCATGCAAAACACGTGGTGTGGGTCTTGCTCAAGAGTCACCCTTCTGCTTGCATGGCCTGTGCAAAGAGGGCATCCCAGTGACCAAATGGTGCAGTCCACTCTTGGCCTTCACTACCATCCTTCGATCTTGGACTTGTATATATATATATAGAACTCAAACAAAGAACGCAAAGGTGCCCCTTGCTGGTCACCGCCGGCACCGCGGCCGAACGGCCGGACAGCCGGACCACTCCATCTGACTGCCGTGGCACTGTGGTGCCAAGCTCACCACCCAGGTTGTCGCACTGCCATTCATCTTGACCACCCGTGGGGCCCTGCCGGTCGTCGAACTGCATTCAGAAATGAATCCAAAACTGGGACTCTGGGACCGTTCACCGTTTCGTATCCATTCCGTGTTCCAACTGGAAAGTCTAAACTGTTTGGGATCGTCCATGAAAAATCATGCCTAACTCATCACACGCATCACTGGACGGACCCACCACTTGCAGTCCTGCAAAGGAAGGCCTTCACAAAGGGGGAAGTCTAAGGCCCTCAACGGCGAGTCGCTGCGAAGCTGCGAAGATCCCCCAAAAGTTCTGACTCCGAAGCACCGGTGCACACTCTCCTAACAAAAATATGGGCTGTTGAAGATCCATCTATATAAGCTGGTAGGTCCTGGAAGGTCAGGTGATTGGATCGCAGTATCCTGTCCATGGTCCCTTTCCTGCCACATCCTTGCCTTGATTGACGTCATGATCTCCAATTCAACAAATTCAACTCTTTCAATGGAGCCTTCCAATGGGTTTGATACCACATGCAAGTTTTGGTTTGCTGATTCTCCAGGTGAATTGCTTCAGTTAGCTTCAAGCAAGCATCTTGAGATGCTTCACTTCGGGAGGTATACAAATACCCTCGGTCCCTGATAGCCAAAAAGTGCTAACTGTCCCTTTTTCTCCAATCATTTATTATATATATATATATATATGTATATGTATGTATGTATGTATGTATGTATGTATGTATGTATGTATGTAT